AGGCTGGAATAAAATGGCGGCTTGTTTAAAGACAGTGTTGGCTGGCAGCCCTGTAACAGTGCTAACCACCATGCTGCCGTAATAATAACATTAAATAACATTCATGATGACATTTAAAGGGGCATGCCAGTAGGCGTGTATCAGTTTATAACTACATAAGGTATTTTGAGCCAATAAGTTGGTTGTGGATCACTGACTACCATGTTTCTTAACATTACCTTACTCCATCTAGTGTGCTACCAGCAGAGTATATGGTAAAATGGTAATGGTTGTTAAAACATTAACCTAATATGTGAACTGTAGCTTTTAAGTCAAATGCTACTGGCATAGCTCACCTTCAGTCTGCTGTTGAACAAGGGCTAAACCTTCTAGAATTACCATGTCAAAGACCAATCAAAAGTCCTGATCCATCTCCAACAGCATTTAAAACAGATTCATCTGGAAAGCAACTTTGCACAGGGACGGTTTGTCACAGTTACAGCCTGAGAGAGCTTGTATGGATTGACACAGACCTTGGAAAATGCTCTACAGAAACTTTGGGGCACCGTTTACACAGTCCAAAAAAGGTTTTTCTTATTGAATTCCCATCCACTCTGCTACTTCAAGGAGAGAAATTCACACTGAAAGCAGTCATTACATTTCAGGAGGGCCCAACACCATAAACACTCGGGCATTATGTGACGTTCTGTGACAGGACCTCGTACAGTAGCGGCGTTTAAAACAAAGCTAAAGACCCACTTTTATGGTTTTGCTTTTAATTCTGCAGGTTAGATGTTTATATATATATTTACATGAGTTTATTCTGCTTTTAAATGATAGTTTTTATTTTTATTTTTTGTCTCTTAGTCTTACTGTGACACACACAGAAAGATGTGGTCACATTTTTCGTATTGATGCTTTAACCATCTGATGTAATTTATTCCTGTGTGAAAAAAAAATATATATATTTAATGGATTCAGGCTAAAAGGAAAAGAAAAAAAAACTTAGAGTCTCTAAGGACATTGTCTTTGTAAACTGTTCTGTAAAGGTAATGCACCTTAATGCCAGTAGAGGGCAGTATGATACTTGGCAGCTGACCGGGACAGTTTGGTGCGGACATTGGCGCAGCCGTTGGCTTTTTCTCATTCTGCAATGAAGAGCTAATGCAGCAACACCATACTGATGTCCTGTCTGCTCATTTGACTGTTTTTAACAGGTTAGTGTCCTCATATAAGAGCGATAAACAGGTGAAAATGGGAGAAAACCGTGTCAAGATGTGTTTGTCAAGCACCTGTTAATCGGTTTGGGAGGAAGTTTTGTTCTTAATGTGTGGTTTCAATGTGCTGTACGCCTGGCGCCCCCCGATGGTGAAGTTGATATGGCGGCACAATAACGGCTTCATGTTTACTTGGATTTTATCCTGTGTGCTCCATGTAAAATGAATGGCATTGCTGAGAAAGAAGTGTTATTTTGTTCATGTAGGTGAAATAGTGAAAATAAGCAAGGTAGTTGATGAGAAAGAGTTATTTAAACTGGTTTGCATTTATATTATTTTAAAGCTCAAGTGGGGTAGAAATATTAAGTTTGTTCCATGAGTGTCTTATTATATTATGAACATGTAGTGATGAACCAGTATTGCAAGAAAATGTCAAATGCGGTAAAATAAGTGTCTGACTATTCAGAATTTGTCAAAAGGGAACTGCTTAAACAAGGTGAATGGTAGAAAATGTGCTGCTTGACATGGTTGAAAGTGTTAATAAAATTCTGCAATGAAGAGCTAACGCAGCAACACCGTACTGATGTCCTGTCTGCTCATTTGACTGTTTTTAACAGAATCACCTGTTGCATGGTCACATACCTGGGACCTGTAACATTACTGTGCAGCACATTGGTGGCATGCCTCATGCTTGTAAGAGGCTCCAAAAATGAAGGTTGATGATAATGCAGGGTATCCGCGGGTCCTTAAAGTCTTAAAAAGGCTTAAATGACCTTTTCCAAATTTAAGGCCTTAAAAATCCTTAAAAATTAAAAATAATCCTTAAATACAGTTTCCAAAGGTCTTAAATTACCAAGGACCCAATAAACAAGACTTTTATTTCTATAAAAATTCCATGAATTTCTAGTTGGTGTTCAGCATTTTTTGTGTATGATATTGGCATAAGCGGAACCGTACACATTCAGTCTGTTGTGAAAGGGGGCTATTTTTACATTAGCATATTCAGGGTTTTACCTGGCTCAAATTGAGGCAGAGGTGGAACCATCTTGACCATGCGCCAACACATGCATACTCTTTGTATTCAACTGCATCACTTTTAAAGGCAAAATATTTTTTCGTTAAGTGTTCTAATCTAAGCTTCTGTTGATTAATTGAATATTCCATTTGACAACGTTTCAAGTGAAACAAAACAGGTTTGCTGCTAAAAAAATATGAAATAAAACAAACAAAATTGTCAGGCTGAAATAATGGACTTTTATTATGAAAGGCCCAATAATATGCACTAGATTGGTGTTTAGTTCCTTTTTTCCCATCTGATATTTATAGTTAAAATATTTTTAAATATTTGACCTACATTTCAGTAACATTTTAGGTTTGTATTAAAAACACTCATCTCAGTCTAAATGACACAAATATATACAGTAAAATATCATTAACATGCATTTGTATTGGAAATGGTAATAACATTTAATTTCTGCTGCTAACAATGTAACAGTGGCGTGTCTGTTATGTACGGCTTGTGAATAATCCAGTTCAAATTATGTTCAAAGATGGAAGCGTTTGTGAATTATATACTACAATGGCTTGCTGTAGACTTGTAGCAGTAATGTGACTCGTATCTGCAGCGGTTCTGATATGTACTGCTGCAGGATGCTGAATAAACAGGATGGTGGGGACTTTTCATCCGCTTGTAGAGTTTAGTCTTTCTTAATTTTACGATCATCATGTATTTTTCTGTGTGCCACTTGATAATGAGACTGCTACCTGTTAGCTTTAGCATTAGCCAGTCTGCGTGTAGCTGCACTTTTGATCCCAAACTTTGGACCGGTTCTGCCTTTGTACCTTTGCTGGTTCCTTTATTTTCCTCCACTGCATCCAGATTTCCACACTGTGCGCCAGCAAAAAGCATTTTTCTTACACATAACTTACTTTTGTTCAATAACGTTCTGGGGAAAATAGAAATTCAAAGATGTTGCACCAGTGCTTTGTTTAAAAATAGACAGACACGCACAGACAGTTTTTGTCGTCGCACTGTACAGCTCTGCTATGGAAGAGCCTGGGTGAAATCAGGACGTCAATAGCACCAACCATAGATATGTACCAACTAGTGAGAAAAGCAAGTTTTGATCTTTGTCTGCTGCGGTTTTGGCGCTTTTCGGTGAACCGCTGCTCATACAACGCCCTAGTGGCGCAATGCTGCATCTGCTGTTAAAATAACATCAATATAGCTGGGGGCAGAGTGAAATCAGGCTGGGGCGGCACAAAATTAGCTGGAGGCAGCCGCCACACAAATTGGAATGCAGGAAAAACCCTGCCGCATTAGTTGGTTAAGCTAGTGGGAGCTTGCGCCATAGAGAAGTGCAAGTTTTATGGTAACTGGATGGCTAATCCCACGTTCGTGGCGTGGTTAACACTGGTTCCAGGCAATAGCTGGAAGTTATAGCTTAAATTTAATTTTAAAAATAGCTTACATTTGGTCAAAGTGGCCTTAAAAAAGGTCTTAAAAAGTCTTAAATTTGGCTCCCTTAAATCTGCAGATACCCTGTAATGAAGACGAGTATTAGAATTTGTCTTAAACCCGAAATTGCATTTTTTTAAATTATTATTACACTCTTCAAAGGGTAGAACCAGAAAAATGCCTTTTTCAGCAAGTTGGCATGGCAGCTTGTTAGCAGTCAGAGAGGAGAGTCTGACACATGAGACATATGAAGATTTGTTTAATTTCTACAGCAGCATTGTTGTATCAGCTCAGCCGTAATAGAAGTTGGTGTTTTGGAATAAATGATTAATAAAGTCTCATTTTGCATTTGCTTTCAGGGCAACTAGCAGTGAGCATGTAGCTAATGTTGGCTGACTAGGAGGTGCTGCTGGTGAACATAAATGTAGTATAGCAATGTTATATTTACTAAATAGAAACAACAAACATGATCAAATGTACTTGTGAAAAGTAATCCCTGAGCTATGCAACTTCAGAGTATTAAGGCTGGTCCCTGTTCATCTCAGTAAAGTGTAGCTGACATGCTGGAGCTTGAGTCTGCTTCCATTGCATGTTGCCTACATGTCTTCAATGTTGAACACAGTTCATTTGTTTGATATAGTGAAACTGCTCCTGTACAAACTAATGAAGGCTGAGGACACATTTTTGCAGTTAGATGAAGGTGTTAAAAAGACAAACGCACAGCAAGAAGTTAAGTAGCATTTCTGCTTGTTAAACAGTCAATTACTTACAAACTTTAGGGGGTGCTAAAAGCAAGCAGGAACTGCATTGTTTCCCTTTTAAGGTACAAACTGGTTATTTTGTATGTTTACAACTTTACTTAAAGAGCAAGTCAACCCCTACCAGAGTCTAACTCCACTCTCACTTCATGTTTGAAAAATGCAACAAATGCTGTTGCCTGGCAGACCGGGAAGGCGGAGCTGCTAACAAATACACACACAGGCTCACAACATCATTGTGACATCATAATGTACCAGTTTACATCATAGCATACCTCTTAGCCAATAGCGGTGGCAGATTTAAATTAAAATACAGTGCAGAGTTTTTACCTGACAACGGCACAACACTGCCAGTTTTAGGCAGAATATTTAAATTTTAACTAAGATGCACTGAAGTGCCAAGTTATTGACTACACGTGTCTGCCTCACGATTAGACACTCGTTTATTTAGTTTATCAACAAAAAATAGTTTAGTTGGGGGTGACTTGCTCTTTAATGTTTAACAAGTGACAGGCAACTTGTGTGACAGTCAGTTGTGTAGTGCTTGGAGCTAATGTGGGGTTGCCTTCTAAATAATTAACTTACTTTATTTGTTTCAAACAGCATTCACCATGCCTGGCAAAGTGTCCAAACGCAAGGCGGATGCTGCCAAGCGCAGCAAACGTCCACCTCCGCCCCTGCGTATCGGGATTCCAACGCCTAGCAGTGACGACGTTCATCGTATGTATTTAGTAGAACAAATTATTGTAGTGTTATGCAATTCATTTAATTTATACTGTATTTATGTAAGGTGAAAAAATTATTGGACAAAAAAAGATTGAATTTTTTTTTTTTTTTTTTAAGTCTCTGGTACCGGCTGGCGCCATAGAGTTCGTCGTTGGCCAACTAGTGCAGTGTCCAACAAATCTCACAAGTTGGTCCTTCCGGGTGGGATTCCTGACAAGAAAGTGAGTGTAATGTTCACAAATATTTAAAATGTAAATATAGATTTCCTTCCAATACTATGTAGCAGTACTATGGGATCCTAAGGAAACAGTCAGATGGTGTTGAAGCTGCTATCAGTTACAGTGCTGCAAACGGATTGAATCGGCTTCTTTTAGACTTGTGCCCCAAGTCTACCAACTTTTGAATCTTAATAGAAAACCTAGTTGTAATCATCTTCCTTTTTATTCAGTGCTTCTCAATCTGTGATTTAAAACTTGAACTGCTCAGCTATTTTTACATGTCTTTATTTTTATTTACATGCCATTATGTTGGTGTATTTTGTAATTGGTTTTACCATTTCATGTTTTATTGTTTGTAAACTTTGACTGTTTAATGTGATCTCTTTCTTCCTGAAAAGCATATTGCATTGTCTTTTGTATGAAATGTCATTTAATACAGATAGTTTTATATGAAAATGTATTTATTTCTTTTTCTAATTTAGTTCGTCCTACTTGTTGGGGACTCCCACTTGAGGTCCGTGGCAGACGGCATAGTCCCTATGCCGGTTGGCGGCCTCGCTTTTGGAGTGATGTCCACTCCAGGAGCTTGTGCAGATCTTCTGCGCCTTGAGGTTTCACAGGCTGTGTTACCTCGGGAGCCTGATGCTGTTTGCGTCATGGCTCCTTCTAACAACCTTACGGCCAGCAGAACAGTTGAAGAGGCAGGGGATGCTTTTGAGCGGTACCTTTTGGCTATTCTCAGTCGCTGGCCTAAGGTGAGGAGCTGATTTGTGTAATTTTGGAGGTATAGGAAGTGACTGTAAATGTATATTTAAAAAAATTATTTCTTTATTTTTTTAGGTTTTCTGTACCGCCATGATTCCCCGTTTAGTTGGATCCTGGGAGCGTCAAGACCTGTTTCAGCAGGAGTACCACCGCAGATCGGCTAAGCTACGTAAGTTGCAACATAATTGGATAAAAAGGTAGTATTGACGACAAGTGTTATTGCTATATACTCTTAGGCATCAAACAATCACATTTCATAACTTTACATTAATTTTTTTCCTTCTGCTTCGAAGGTGTAAGTTACGTGCCGATCCACGATGACCTACCCAGGTACCGTCGCGAACTGTGGTGCCGTGATGGTGTAAGTATATTGCTTGGAAGAAAACGAGGTAAAGATTCTTAAATTTGAGGTAATAAATTTGTATTTTCTTTTGTTTGTGTTTGTGGTTGCAGATCCACCTCAGTGATGACCACGGGATGCCTATACTCACGCAACTGATGTGGAATGCTTCCTATCAGTTCTTGGAGACACCCGCACCAAAGCCACTGGTGCAGCACCAGGTGTCTCGTCCGCTGAAAGCGAGTATTGTGCCCCGTGTGGTTGTGAAGGGTGTGGAACGCATTCCACCTCCACGCCCTTCCGAATGGACGTTCGTGAGACCTAGCGGGAAGGTGAGACACTTTATAAAGTATAAATATTGTAAAATGTTTATGCAGCTGTGCCACTAATGTTTCTAAATGTGTTTTCTTTTATTTACCATTGCAGAGGAACCATTCAGGGGAATTTGAAAAGGCTTCTAATTCCCCCAAGAAACGAGTGGTTCTTTCTGAGGTTTGTGAATGTTTTTGATTTATCTTTTTCAAAGAATTTTGATTAGATGATAATATGTGGTGAATTTTCTTCAATAGACTGATGACACTTCAGTGGCCTTGAAGGAGTGTTTCATCCCCCTGAATCCCGTTAGGTTCTCACCTACAATTCTGGCTGCCATGGACACGCTAGCTCCATCGGCTCTTGGTGATGTCCCCACAGACATCCAGGTATCTTTAGACAAAGGGTTTATTATCTCTTAATGTACAGTCAGGGGTGGACCGTTAAAGCGCCCGAGCGCCAATGGCGCTAAATTTTCTCGTCGGGCGGTAAATACTTGATGACTTACCGCCCGGGTGGCGCCCAAGCTTTATTTGTCATTTACACACCGGCTTTCACCTACATCATGGCCCCGCCCTATAGGAAGCTGCCGTTTTTGTTTCGCGTGCGTGAACCTGCGCGCCTCTAGCCACGTACTGCACTTGTACGATTCGTGCACGTACTGCACGATTAGTTATAGTCACGTGAACTATAAGTTCACTATTAAAGACGAAGTGGAACCACGCTAGAAACACACAAGCACGCAGGAAGATCGCGCCACCACAGGGATGGGATTTCTTGATGAAATCTCCGGCAAAACACTTTAAAACTGGTGAGGAGAAGCGAGACAGTTCGAAACGGTATGAAGCAGAGAAGCGTGTGCGTAGGTGGAATGATTCTTGGCGATTTAAAGAAGACGGGAGGCGCAGAGAGTGGCCGTGTTCGAGTTGAGCAGCGCCTCGCCTGGAAAGCAGACGGAAGCAGCGGGGGGAGTGGCTGAAAGCCGGCGTTTCGCCGGGGACACACCGGCCGCGGAAGCGCCCGAAGCGAATTGCTCACGAAGTCCGGCCGCTGCTCGCCGCTCCTCAGTTCAGATCAGACGCGCCCCATTCGAGGCGCGCCTCGGCTCCGCTGTGGATTTTCTTTTAACTACCTGGTGTCCTGAATTTCCTCAGCTCTTTTCCTCTACGTGTGTGTGCGTGCGTGCGTGCGTGCGTGCGTGCGTGCGTGTGTGTGTGTGTGTGTGTGTGTGTGTGTAGAGGAGAGGAGAGGAGAGGAGAGGAGAGAGACTATGGTGTGAACCAGTTGTTTCTGTCAGTTGAATCTCTTGGATTTTCCTGCATTTGTAGCTCGGGGGTGACGATGGCTGAAGATATCGCGTTAGCATTCACACTTGTTCAATTTTCAATTTTAATTCTGGTGCCTGTTAGCAGCTGAAACACATCCTCACATGCTTGTGGATGTCATATATTGTATATGAAAACATGACTGTAATAATAAGGTTATCAGCTGTAGCTTCAGTGTGCTCATAGGAAACGTGACAAAAGAACACAAAACACATTTCTCTTTGTGGCCTATATAGTTGTCATCATCAACGTAACATGATTTACAGAATACATGTGACCAACTAACATTTCATGTTCTACCACTGGATGTTTGGATCAAAATATGAACCAATCAGATCTTAGATCAGGTGAGAGCCAGGTGTTTCCCGTCATCCCCTAGGTTTTGCAGCCAAGGGAGAGCAACTGCAGCGCCTTGCTTCAAAATCTGCGGCCGCCTTGATCTCACGAGGTTATCGTTGCCTACGTATGCATGACTTCAGAGCAAGTCGGCGTCAATTCGGACACAAATCTAACCGGCATGCACTGCTCGCCGATCACCGCTGGTCTAATCTGCACAGAACTGGCTCATCTCGAACACAGCCAATGGCTCGAATACAGCAAAGCGGAGTTGGTGATGTACTGCGTTGTATGCCGGAAGTATGCAACGACAAAATCGTGTTTTGTTGAGGGAACAAACAAATTCAAACTTGAATACGTTATTATGTTTGTGAATGTGTACAAAATAAAGGTTTATTACATTTAAAACGGTTCAGTTGTTATTTTGACTCGTTTTGGCAGCTGACCAGCAGGGCCGGTAGATTCTTGGCGGGGCCGGTAAATATTCAGAGTTACCGGCCCGGCTGGCCGGTTGGTTTTGAAGTTAATGTCCACCCCTGACAGTGTAATGGTGTTCCTGATGGTTGTAATATGGGCTGTCAGTATGTCATTTTTAAAAGTATTACACTAAACTAAAAAATAATACTTTTGTGTTTGTAGACTACGTCTGTGGGACATCGCAAGAAGCCTGCTGTCTTGAAGCCCAGGCCAGTAAAGCAGCGGGTAAATAATTGTTTGATTAATTAAAGACTCTTGCACACAAATACATTATGGTGTCAGTGATCATACAACTGTTGTGAATTAATTCAGTTCTTGGAGACATCCTCACCAAAGCCACTGGTGCTGCGCCAGGTGTCTCATCCAGTTACGGCAAGTAATGTGCCACGCGTTGTTGCGAAGGTTGTGGAAACCATTACACCTCCACCCCCTTCCCAATGGACACCCGTGAGACCTGATGGGATGGTAAGATACTTTGTAAAGTATAAATATTCTTAAAAGTGTATGACTTTAGGTGACACTGCTAGTAATGCCTTTCAATGTGCTTATTATTATTATTTTTTAATCATTACAGAGGAACCATTCAGGGGAGTCTGAACACGCTTCTGATTCCCCCAAGAAAGGAGTGGTTCTTGGTGAAGTTAGTGAATGTTTTTGATTACATTTTTTTAGATTATTTCCATATAGATGGTAATATCTGGTCATTCTTGTTCAATAGATTGGCACTCCAGTGGCTGTAAAGGAGTGTTCCATCCCACAGTTCTCACCTGACAATGTGGTTGCCATGGACACACTTGCTCCATCGGCTGGTTCAGATGGTCCCACAGACATACAGGTAACTTCAAAGTAAATGTTTATTATTATCTTCTAATGTTAAGTGTAATGTACTTCCTGATGTTTGTAATATGGGCTGTCTGTATGGTATATTTGAAAGTATTGTACTTAAACGTATTATTTTCTGTTTGTAGACTACGTCTGTGCGACATTTTAAGAAAGCAGCTAGGCGTGTCCAGCAGGAGGTTGATTCATTAAATTATCTGGCATACAAATACATTGTGGTGTTATTTTTGTTAACTGTTGTTGTTCTTGAATTATAGGTTGCATCCCCACCTTGCATAAATCCTCTTGCAGACGTGGAGTCTGTTCATTTTAGGAAGGAGGTAAGAAGTGTGTGTTTCAAACATAAAACTAAACAAATCTTGATGGTGTTTAGGATGTATTGCCCTTTAATTTCTTTTATATAGGTGTTGGACTGTGACCAGCTGCCTTTACCCCACCATCAGGAGGCATCTGGTTGTCCTGGGTCTGTCTCTGGGTCTGGTGCTGCTCATGCTGTGATGCCTCCTTCTGGCCAGAAGGGTGATTGCCATCACGCGCATGCATCACCCAGAGGTCAGTCCACTAACACCCCTTCTTGCATGCGTTCACAGATTTTGCTATCATCTCTAGTTCCAGAGACAACTGTTCAGGAACCTTCAAGCAGTTCTGTTGTAAATAATTTTGATGAACATGATACAAGCTTACAAAAGGATGATAAAGTTTTAGACTCTATCCTAGGATCATTTCACCAGGGCGATAAGCGTTTTAAATACGGGGGAGTTCAGTGTGCAGCTATTACTGTTGTTGCTTTAACAAAGCACAAACAGAAGAGTGTTTTTTCTTGGGACTTTGCCGTGTTGGATAACGTTGTTGAGTTAGGAGATGAGCTGTACACAGATTTGCGCGACAACAAAAAGATTAGAGGTGGACATGAGTTTCTCTCTGTTCCAGACTTGCCAAAGGAAATTGACATAGAAGAACAGCGTTTTAAGCTTGTTTACGGGGATTTTGTTTCAGGAGATGTAGATGTAGTTGAAGGCGAGTTAATAGATGCTGGTGTGTACACTCCTCTCCTGGATGGATTGCAGAAGATGTGCACACAGCATGAAACTTGCATTATGACATTAAGTGGCAATACTTGCGCTATCATTTGTGATAATGGACGTTATGCTGTAGTAGATTCCCATGCACGCTCTGCAGACGGCATGGTAGAGCCGACAGGACAGAGTGTAGTTGTGTACTTTGCAAACCTTGATAATGTTTTTCAACATTTTCAGAGGTTTGCTAGTAAACTAGTGGGATCTCAGAAGTCATTTGAGATCACTGGAGTGGATATTGTTCAGATGGACACATTTAAAAATGTATCTGAACAAACAAGCGCAGTTCCCACGAAGGCCAAAGGGGAGAAGCGCAAAAGGTCATCCACATCCACAGCATGCAAAAGGACGAAGATTGATGATGTTAAGGATATGGACTCTGTTGTTTTTGTTAGTGATGTTGCGACAAAGGTTTTGCAGTTTGATCCCATCTCTAGTGATGTGTCAGAGGTTCTGTGTAAACGGTTGAATGTGGAGTATGAAAAGTGTGATTATGCTTGTTGTGGTGTTGGTGAGTTGGGTGTACCATGTGTGAATGAGGAAATAGTGGGTGATGGAAACTGTTTTTTCAGGGCAGTAAGTCGAGCTGTTACTGGCACCCAGAAACATCATAGAAAATTTCGGCTCGCTGTGGTAAACCAGTTAAAAAGGAATCCTCAAACATATCAAAGTATTTTAAGAAGTGAGTATTCCTCGGTTCCACACTATCTTAACTCGTCTAGGATGCAATATGTAGGAAACTGGGCAACTGAGGTAGAAATTCAAGCTGCTGCTGATTATTTTGGCATTAACATTTTCACTTACTGTAATGATAAATGGCTTGAATACAGCTCCAACAGCAGCATATCTAATCAAGGTGTTTATTTACAAAATTGTAATGGTAACCATTATGAGACAGTCATTTGTGTTAAACAGCCTAACATGGAAACATGTTATGGGTATTGCAAGACTGTAGATGATGATTCTGGAAAATATAACACTCGACAAGCTGCAACTGAACCTTGTTCTATAGAAGCACATGATGCCAGTGCCATTGATGATTCCAATACTTTTACTCCTCTGTCTGCAGATGTTTGTAAAACTCTTTGTAACATGTTGAAAATAGATTATGACAAACACACTTCCCAAGACACTACACCATGTGGGACTTTAGGAAATGTGTGTAAGACAGAGGATATTGTAGAAGACGGTAATAGTTTTTTCAGAGCTGTAGCTCATTCAATTAGTGGGTCACAGAAAGGCCATCGTAAGGTCCGACTTTCTGTTGTTTCATACATGTTAAAAAATACTGAACAGTGTGAACAGTTCCTGGGAAAACATGCTTCTGTGTCACAATATATAGAACACTCCCAGATGAAGTACGTAGGTCACTGTGCTACAGAAGTAGAATTTAGGGCTGCAGCTAATATGTTAGGCGTGCACATATTTATTAATAATGGCACTGAGTGGATCAAATATAGTCCTAAATCCAGTAATTTCAGTGAGGGACTATATTTGTCAAACTGTAATAATAATTTTAAACCTATTATTTGCACTAAACAGGGTGACAAAGAAACATGTTTGGGTTTTTGTAAAGTTGATTCTTTGTCAGACATTGTAAACAGGTGCAGCAGATCAACAAAAAAGCAGTTAAATGCTGACCCAAACATTAAAAGTATCAAAATGAATACAGTTTTGTCTAAATATAAAAAACAAAAAAGTAATTTTACAAAAGCCTTTCGATATAGAAATGACAATACATTTAATGAAAAAGTCAAAACTCAGTACCAAAAATTATATAAGACAAGTTTTGTATACAGGATGACAAAAATCAACTCCAGCAAATTTAAATACAAATTTGTTACTACACATAAACAGAAAGTTAAACAGATGAGTTTATTTAACTATCGTCATAAATTGTCTCACAGAGAAAACGTTAAACAGAGGACTATTCATGAATACCACCATAATTTGCCTCATCAAGAAAGAGTTAAACAGAGGAGTATTCATGAATACCACCATAATTTATCTCATCAAGAAAGAGTTAAACGGAGGAGTATTCATGAATACCACCATAATTTATCTCATCAACAAAAAGTTAAACGGAGGAGTATTCATGAATACCACCATAATTTATCTCATCAACAAAAAGTAAGAGAGTTGAGTAGAAGGCAGTATCTTAAAGTTGAACATAAAACCCGATTAATAGAAAGTACAAAGCAGAAACGAGAGCTGATTAAATTAAAGTCACAACACTTTGATTTTGTCACTGAGCACTTTTTGGAGAAGGTAAAAGATGGACCTGATTTTGTGTGTTGTGTGTGCTCTCGATTGTTATTTAAACATCAGGTCTTAAATTGTCGCAAAGAGTATTATAAAAAAACCAAAGAAATGTCACTTATAGCTGATAAATGTATAAGTGAAGATTATGTGCATAGATGCACCAGTGCCTGCAAGTCACCATGTGAGTTTTTCAATACATCTAGAAATTCATTGTATATCTGTTACACCTGCCATTATAAAATTAACAAATGTCAAATACCTCCGCAGAGTTCAATCAACAAACTGACTGTTGATCCCATCCCACCTCAGTTGGCACGATTAAATACATTAGAGCAACATTTGATAGCTTTAAATATACCATTTATGAAAATGTTGGCTCTGCCTAAAGGTGGTCAGAATGGAATTCATGGTCCTGTAACTTGTGTACCAGCAAATATAGTTGAAACGTGCAGTTTGTTACCACGCACCAACATGGAGGGGTCTTTATTACCTGTAAAGTTAAAACGTAAATTAACATATAAAGGCCATTATGATTATCAGTATGTTGACGCAGTGCATGTCCAGGAAGCTCTTCAGTATTTAAAACATCATAATTTACATTACAAAGATGTACAGTTCAATGAAGCGTGGATTAATGAATTTTCTCGTGTGGATGACCATTCTGTATCGGAAAAGGACAGTGTTGCTGTTAAAGATGAGGGTGCGTGCATAGAAGAGGATGAAGATGAACTGCTGCATGATCGACAGCAACACTGTATGTTTCAGGACACCTGTCTCATGCCAGTGGATATAGGACAAGAAGCATTAGATCAGTATGTTGACAACGTGTTAAATGTAGCTCCTGGTGAAGGTAATAATCCAGTGAAATTGCTTTCTGATATTACAAATGAGGCAAAATGTTTCCCTGTATTATTTCCTTCAGGATCAAAAACATACCACGAAAGCCGGCAATATAATTTGACATTGAATCGTTATTTTAACACTAGACTTCTTCACGCTGATGGGCGATTTGCTCATAATGTCGAATATATCTTTTTTGCGCAGTACATGTCTGAACTGGAGCAGGTTGTGTCTAAAGTTTCTATAGCTCTGCGTAAAGGTAAAAGTGGTGAATCCCATGACTTGCGTAATCTGGTAAAGGATCAGGATTCCTTAAATAAGCTGTTGGAGTTTGATGATGGGTATCGTTTTCTCAAACCCATTCGAGGCACACCTGCATTTTGGCAGACTGCACAACGCGACCTGCTGGCATGTGTTAGGATGCTGGGCAAACCTACATGGTTTGCATCGTTTTCATCAGCAGATATGAGATGGACTAATCTCCTGTACAGTATTTTGAGACAAGAAGGCAGAACGGAGACAGTGGAACAACTGGAGTGGGCTGATAAATGTGAACTGCTGCGTAGAAATCCTGTC